CAGGAGACAATATAGTTCCAGTACATTACTAGACCCTATTGCAACTATATCACCTGGGTTACAGAATATATATTCTGCTCTGATATATACTGAGCGACTTTGGGTCACCTGCTTCGATACCTTACTGGCTCGATTATTGGTATCAGGTGGTTATGTCAAATTAATGTTTGTATGTATGTAAGGGTGAATGACTATGTACGTAACGATACAATTGTAAGCTTTTTTATTTCCTTTAGCAGCTCTGCAGATATTTATCGTGACGTCACATTTGTTTGTGGGGGGGGGGGGCAAGTGAGATCCAGCGAAATGCATTGTTATTTTAGTTACATGGCAATATCCCGAATGTTCAATATTATTGGAATGAACAAGGGTTAATAATTCTCAAAATGATATAGGATTCGTATTTCCAAAAATTATTTCTATGATGACTATTTTCATTTCCCACTCATTACATTGTTCCCTTCTCTGTGTTCAGAAAGCGCATGTCTCTCAACACCGTGTCTAAATGGAGGGACTTGTTAGCAACATAATACACACACATGTATTATATAATACATGTGTACGTGCGTGTGTTCCTTTGTGCGCGGGTCTTGTTTGTTTACGCGGCCTTTTGGTCCTCCATTATATAACAAAGTACTTTTTAATTTTCATTCTTGTGTTTAGTGATCAAAATTCTTTGCATTGTACGGAAGCTTCAACGTGCAGAGAGAAGGCGGCTTGTTAGTGCCTAGAAGACGAGAAAACGAGTTGTTAAAGCCGCGAAGTCCCCATGCTTAAGATGAGAATGCTAGAAGGCGACTAGATTAAAAAAATCACCAAGGCACTTTGTTAAGGCCGAGAAGACTTGAAGGCGCCTAAAGCCCCTTTCACACCGGATCTGCGTAGAGTTGCGTAGTGTTGAGTACCGACTATGCCGAAGTTAAGCTGCGTACTCATGAATAAATTGATGCTTCGGCGTAGTCCCTGCGTAGGTTTTGCGTAGGCTTGCGTATAGTTACGTACCCTGTGCGTAGGCACCGCGTACCTACGGCGTAGGCAATTGGCGTAGGGTTACGTACGTTTGCGTAGCCCTCTCGTAGGGTTACGTACGCTTGCGTAGGCCTGGCGTAGGGTTGCCAAAAGTGGCATTTGGTACACGGTTTTGACCGTTATATTTTCAATTTTTTAGTAGGTATTAACAACTGCTGAGGCTATTTTGCAGTAATGTTAATTTTTTCAATATATTATTTTCCAAAAATGCTGACATTTTCGTGGATGTACTACTGATGTACTGATGTGATTCGATACCTCAAAACGCCAACAAAAGAGCGCTTATTTTGATTTGTGAATAAATGTGGACAGAAGTCTGATATTTGTTGATCATATCCTTTTTTTCACTCATTTGTAAATATCATTCCATAACAGTTTCCTGAAAGTTTGAAGACGATAGCTGTTGTCCTTTGTCCGTAGCGTATATGTATGTGACAATGTAATGATATAAATGTTAGTCATTTATTACTTCTGACACACACACTTACTCAGTCTCACTAACAGAGTGAGACAAAATTATTTCTTTGCTCATTTAAATTTAAAAAAATTATTTTACAAACATACAAACAGGGCCATAAACGTACACACAAGCAAACAAACCGACACAAATACATACAGATTTCCACAAAACATAATAACATTTCGCATGAGGCATCAGTTTGTGAGTCTTATCTCTGTTTATTATATCAACAGCCTGAGATGTCAACATCACAAATTGAATAAACAATAACAAGCAAAACATGTCAGTCTAAAAATCCTTGTAGTAGTACAAACAGAATTACAAGCAAGAATACAAAATAAAGTCAAAGAAACACTTTTTCTTCATGAACAGAATAAATGTGAGAACGCACACATGTAAACAAAAATAGCATTTCCCTTCAAAATAATGATCAATACCTGCCAAGTTTACATCCAGGTATATACAACAAAAAATCTGTATACGTTTTTAATGCTTCGTCGGACTGGCGTAGGGTAGCGTATTTTTGCGTAGGCTTGGCGTACAGTTGCGTAGGCTTGGCGTACAGTTGCGTAGTTTCTGCGTAAAAAGTCTACGCCGAAGGTACGCGAAAAAAATTAAACATGTTTAATTTGTTGCGTTCATCTCGCCTACCCATTTGCGTCCCTCCGCGTACAGTTGCGTAGGGTTGCGTACGATCGGCGTAGTCGCTACGCAACTCTACGCAACTCTAAGCAAGGCCCGGTGTGAAAGCCCCTTTAGCGAGTTGTTAATGCACGCCTTCTCACCTTCCCGTCTTACGGGTCTTTTGCAAGTTAAACAAGTCGCCTTCTCGCTGCACGTTTAAGTTTCCCTAGCATTGGGCACTTCTTGGAGCAGTTCACTTTAAAGTAGATGAACAAACACAGAATTGAAATTTGTCAAGGGCTTTTTTCAATACTTTTTATTCACTCTATTTTGTGAAGCTATTTGCCAGAATATCTCATGGATATCTCCTCGGTTCGAAAAAGTCGAATTTCCGGTGGGTGAAAACGGAACATTTGCAAATTCAACAGGAATGTGTCCATTCAACACTACTCAAGGTTGGTTTTGATGGTCTTTCATCCTTTTTTAATTTGAGGAATTAGACGGTGGATTTGAATAGCACGATCATTTATAGGCTTGTGCAGATATGGCGCGGTGATCCGCCACAAAAAAAAAACCCTCCGAGTTTATTTTTTTTTTGGTAACGTGTTAATGAAAGGCAACTGCGCGATCGAGAACGACTCATTTATTCGCAATATCTTTTCCAAAATAGCCTTGATATCATGTTTTTCAACCGATGTAGTTTGTTTTCACTTCATTATTAAACACTAGCGAATCAAGATAGGGGCTTGGAGTCTAAAAGCCCCTCCCTATAGATATTCAAACCCCAAAACTGTTTTCATGAATAAAAATGAATTTAAGAGAGGCACACGTAGAAAATAAATAAAGACCCCAAGCATCCAGCCCTCAGACCTAAATTGATATTCTAGATCCGTGCGTGTTGTTAAATGTATTAAATTGAATTGCTTGAGTAAATGTCAACCAGAAGGTTCTTTCTTACTTTATTGATGTCTCCTTCTTTCTTCTATGGTAATAATTGTTTGCCAGTGTTCTTTTGATAAATGTAATAAAATATGTGACTGCTTTTTTATACCGAACAGCCAATGTCCCCATTGGACGGGCTCTGTGTTTTGGCGATGGTATTACTCAGAGCCAGTGGCAACCTGTGGATAATTGCGGACCATTTAGAAATGTCACAGATATTCTCACCGAGATTGCACAGGTTTTTTTAATTTTCTTTACAAATTTGATCATTGAAAAGAGGCTTTTAAATAACCTTCATATGTAATGCAATTTTGTTTATTATATTGTAGATACCACTGATCATTACAACCTGAAAAAGTTTGATAAATAATTCCAACAAAAAATAAAAGTATAAACTGACCTATTAATGGGTGGATTTCACCTGATTTGGTACATTATTTTTACCCAGTATTGTGTTCAGTTTTGATACACAACAAACATTTATATTCCTTTCTTACTCATCTTTTTTTAAAGAGTGTATCCTTACGTTAGATTTGAAAACTATAAAATCATGCCTAACAGGTAACGAATAGCCCATTGTTAATCAATAAAACTGATTTATAATAATCACATTCCTTTTTATTTATTTTTCATTCAAGGCGGCAAAATATTCTCTGTCATATTCATTGACAACTACTTATCTTTATTAGTTAACTCTTGATACAGCATTTAAACCCAGGAATTAGTAGAAGTTTACTGAATTATTGCATTTATAAGATGTTGTTCTGATTAAAATCAGTTGACAATCGTAGGCGATTATAGCTGCCAAATTTGTTCGGAAATTATTTACCATCTTCCGGTTTATGACTTGTGAAATAAGATATTATGGGACACATTTTTTTTAATTTGTTTACAATAATGATGGCATATGGAGAAGAAAAAAAAGAACCTTCTTTATGTGTCTTTGCAATACAGTACAACCCAGAAAAAACGAAACCGAGAATTATCGATGTTTTATCAAAGCTTAATCACGATTAAAGTGATGCATGCATTTCCATAATTTGATTAAACGAATTCGTTTTCACTGGCTGCCTGCCGTAGCAACAAGCAGAATTGACAAAAGACTTAACTCCGTTTCGTTGACGACCAGACATAGACGAAAGACTTAATGCATGGCTGATTGTCAATGAAATGAAAGTCTTTTGTCAATTCTGCTTGTTGCTACGGCAGGCAGCCAGTGAAAACGAACAATTTAAAGCAAATTATGGAAATGCAAGCATCACTTTAAACAAACAGAACGTTGTTATTCCTTGCTCATTTTTCCTGATTGAGGTGTCATATGAAAGGGCAGAAAATAAACTTTCTAGAAATGTGAATTCTTCTTCGAAATTCAGATACCGCCCGCCTAATGACTTTTTGGTTTCCTTCCTTCAAATTGCTTTTAATCAATCATGCGTGAAATATGCATCATATGAGTTGCATCGAATGAAAGAGGAGGATCTAAGCTTTACAAATATGTGTCATTTATTAATTATAATTGTGATTAAATTATGATGAAACATCGATACTTCTCGGTTTCGTTTTTTCTGGGTCGCACTGTATTGTAAAGGAAACATGTTCGCTAAGTTTATGTTACCTTATGAAAGGAAAGTCGTATCGCTCACCGTGTACATGCTGTAAGGATATTTTTCCCCCAAATTTTAGGTAATCGTAGGTGAAGAAAATGCAGTTGAAGTGAGCCAGCAAGTATCATCTGTTACTTCCAACATCGAAGATATCACATCAGATGACATCACGTTAGTGGCGGAGATAATATCAAACATTGTGCAGCTAAATCTTACTAGTGAAGAGGTATTCTACACAATGCCAGACCAATCTTATTGAATATGAAATTGTGATGGTTGATGAATTTTATTATGTTTCAATAATTATCTCATGGGAAAAATTGAACTCTTCCCTCCAATACATGCATAAAATTGTCATAGATGTGAAAGAGGTCAATCCCATAACCGGTTTTAACGACATTGGACGCCTTGAAGCTAAACTACTGTCTGTGAGTGAACAAGTTAATAGAGCCTAACCCCGTGTCGTGCTCTTGTTGGAAATTTCGTATAATATTTTATTTGTTCCAATACATATTTAGGTATGTCACTGTCATTTTATATTTTTTTGACCCCTTGGCGGTTGGTTCTTCAAGAAGTTGTGTAACAGCCTTAAAATGACAGCTGTGCTAAATAAGGCTGTAATGCTTTGTAATACCTTATCATCATTTAGTTTGATTTTTAAGATTTGGCAACTTTCTCCTACTAACGATTAAATCATCTTCACCTTTGGCTTTTGAATTGACAGGTAACAAAGTCTATAACGAGTATTGTGAGCAATATAGCCCAGGTAGAAACAGAGGAACTTGAGGCCTCAGAGGAAGAAGGTGGGGCAATAAGTAAATTTGTCCAGGCTTTTGAGGAACAAATCAGTCGTGTTGAGGTTGCCGATGGTGGGATGCTCAACATTCAGCAGCCAAATGTAGCCGTACAGGTGATTTTACATGTATATCATAGGTTATGAAAAAGTAATTTGATTTCAACAAGTATACTAAAATAAATTAATTTCAAAAACTTGACGCTGCCATTCATTCATTGTAGTCTCATTCAATATGGTGTCCAACAACGCGCGACACTTATTATAGTTTTAAACAAGATCTACCAAACAACATCATTATTTGTGCATTTATGTGTGCGGGGTACAACACATTTTGAATTTGGGGGTGCCTTACTTGGGCGTCTGTGCATGGTGCTAATCGCCTCATTTTCAATCATCATCAACGATAATGATAATAAAACTAATGAAAATTATTTATAATTATATTAATAATATTAATAATATTGATGATAGTGATGACAATAATAACACTAATATTGTGATGATGATGATGATGATAGTGATAGTGATAATACCATGCGATTTGTAAGACGCCAAAGCCACTTGAAATAAATCAAAGACTCAAGGTGCAAAGGAGAAATCACATAAAAGCATCTGCATGTCATACAACAAACTACAGAAGATAAAATAAAGGGAAACAATATTCCAATCCAAATGGACATGATTTTAGATTATTTTTGAACACCTCAACTGAAGAACATTTCACAGCGAAGGCTCTGCATGAGCAAAGGTTCCCTCTCCCAGTTCCTCTTTCCAGGTAATTATAATTATAGTAATAATAACAACAAAATAATACTTATTTTGATATTATTGTTAATAAAAAATAATAATCATGAAGACAATTATAACGATAATGATAATGATAGTCATAATAACAATAATGATGATGATGATAATGATAATAACGATAATAATAATTGAAGTTCTAATTCACATAACAGGTTCAGAGTGTACTTGCTGACGACGTAATGAGCGGTCTTGTGCTTTCGCTTGTTGGATCCAGTCTTTCAGACCTGACTCAGTCCAATATTACCATCAGTGCTCCGACCCAAGATGACCGCGATGACGTCGTTGCTACCGGACCGGACATCATCGCTCAGGTCAAAATTCCACCTTCAGTTTCATCCGTCATTTCGTCCACGGCCCTACTCTCAGGATCGGCGTCGAATGGCAGTGGCGATTACGTCCGGGTCAACTTCAATGTATTTTCAACTCCAGCCCTGTTCATGTCTAAATCATTGCGCACAATCAGTGCGGATAATGAAGGCTTCAATCGATCGGCTAACTCTCCCGTGATTTCTCTCAGTATTGGTCAAGGGAAATTAGCAGCCTTGAACGAATTCATCAATTTTACCTTCACTACAATAATGGTAAGACCTATAACAATAAAATGGCATAATAATTTTTGTTTTCATATATTATATATATTTGAAATATGCCTTTAGCAGTATTTATAAGTAACTAAATTGTAGACATACATTATATAAGGGGAAATCTATACATCATATGATTTAAAATGTATTTATTTTTCTTTTTTGTAATCCTTTGTTTGATTCCCCTCATGATTAATGGGCTTTAAAACTAAACCAATTAAAATTAACTTTCATTCTTCTAGCATGCTTTATTTAACAATTTGTATATGGTTCTATGTATTTCTTGCTGTTTTTGTTGTTGTTGTTGTGTAGTCTGGATACGTGAATCCCATGTGCTCATTCTGGGATGAGGAGGAGCAAGATTGGTCCCAAGATGGGTGTGTTCTTGTTTCTGGATTCACATCATCGGATGAGCGCTATGATGAGGAGGGCGTGCGCTGTGCATGTGATCATCTTACCAACTTCGCTGTAATAATGGTCAGTGAAAAGCAATTAGGCATTATTATCACCAGTCAACTACTCCCCGGACAACTATAACCCGACAAACTTAGGCCAAATTAAAAAAAAACATGTTTAGCGTCCTGTTTTTTCGTAAAATAGGAAGGAGGAGGCCCTTTTTTGTCTTTCTTTTTTCAAAATGGCCGCCCGAAATGGCCGCTCGGTATATTTTCCCTGACAGTCGGGCTATTTTTCAACATGGCCGCCGAAATGGTTTATTTTTTTCTTAAATCAGAAATAGATCCATTTTGGCAGTGTTTTTCATGTTTGTTTTTCTTTTTTAAAAAATCAACAACAACAAAAAAATAGGAGGCGGCCCCCAAAAAAGAAGCGGGCGGGGACGCTAAATATGTATATTTTTGCATTGACCTAAATGCAGTTGGTTACTAGAGCTTTAATTAGCGTGATACTCCTCTTAATAACCCAGGGGTATAATTGGTCCTACGGATTAAATAGTAAGCAAATATTAATCGACTACGAGGGTAATGGTGCAAACTTTCTTCGCCGAGGTGATCTCGGGGCTACTATCTTCCCGAGCCGCAAGGCGATGGATGATGGTAGCCCCGAGATCTCCGAGGCGATGATAATTTGTATCCATTGCCCGACTAAAGGAGGTTAATATTCGTTTTATATCCCACATCGGCAATAAAGTCTATTTAAAGTGAGTTTTACATAATTATAAGAAATGATTATGCAGACAGTTTAGCTTCAGCTAGATTTTACAAAGCACAACATGCATACATGTAATACAGTCGATGCGCGCTCATTTGACATTGACATTGACTTTGACATTTCGCGTAACCTACTTTGCTATGCGTATTTAATGGGCAAGGATGGGCAAGTAGGGTAGCAGCCAAAAAGGTAGATAGTACTTACGTATACCTTTTTCGTGCTCTGTACAATCGCAGTGCAAACAACTATACATGAGGGATATAATATGGTCTTTGTATTATATAGTAAGAGGCAGTATACAAATATTGACTTCTCATGAGGATGATGGTTGGAATTATCACTCCCAAGGTGGTGTTCATACCGGCCCTTGTATCACTCCCAAAGCGAAGCCGAGGGGATGATAGAAGGGCCGGTATGAACACCACCGAGGGAAAGATAATTGTAACCACCATTCGATTACAGAGCAGTCCATATTTGTTTTATATACCCCATCCTTTTCATTGATTCATGAATAGGTCCAGAAAAGAAATCCAATATCAAGAGTCTATTTGCTCCTCACAGTAACATATTTACAGTCTTTTAAAGTTTAAAACAGATTCAAATATCCAACGCTAAAAGAAATCCAACATACGGAGATCCAATCTATACAGGTACTGAAGTATTAAAGGTAGTGCAGTTAAGCTATGGTCACAAATCAGAGCAGCGACCGACCGATCAGTAGCCTGCTCGGTCGCTGCTGGAATTTAGGCATCGCCCAGCGATTTTTGGAGAAGTCGAGCAGGCTGTAGAGCCCAAGCGATGCCTGGGCGGTGACCTGTCGATTTCCCGTCGGTCGCCGTTCGATTTTAGGTAAAAACTGGGCGAAATTACGGAGCTTTTTCGCGCGGTGTCCCGGCAGTGACCGACCGGTGAACCTCCGATTGCCGGGCGGTCTCCCACCAGCCACCAGCTGATTTTAAAGAAATTGCCCGGCGGCCGGTCAGTGATCGACGGGGCTCCAAAATACGCCCGGTGCCTGGCCGTTTTAGGTCAAAAAACGAAACCACTAGGTCAAAGGCTGCCGACCGATTTTGGACTCTCCGCCCAGTGACCGACTGATCTCTCAGCGGCGACTGCTTGACAACCTTTGACCTAGGGGCTTCGATTTTTGACCTAAATCGCTCGACGGTGAACGCTCGATTAGGTCGGCGCCCGGGTGGAGACCGCCCGGTCGCCGAGCGTAGTCTGGGCGGCGAGTGAAAGTGAGCAGGCGCCGCCCGAATTTTTACTCCGCGCTAAAATTTCAGCAGCGACCGAGCGATGCCTTAAAAACGAGCGGTGCCTGGGCAGCCGCCGCTCGGTGGCCGGGCAAAATTGGCTAAAAACTCGCCGCTCGGCCGCCGAGCAGGCTACTTTTGGGTTTTGTGACCATAGCATTACTGCAGCTCCTCGCAAATTGTATGTCTTGAGCGCTACGACGCCGCAGGAATTGCCCGCTGAAGGGCATTTGAAAACCCGTACGCTCTGTGTGTGTTCAAAAGTAGCGGAAGGGTTAGGCGTACTGTAACAGGGTTTTTCGCGTTCTATTATTTGACCTTAGGTCAATTGATAGAACGCCAAAACCCTCTGACGCAATGATAGATCGAGATGCTCCTTGTCATGTGATATAGTTTTGACCAATCAGTGAATAAGAATCTATGTGTGAAGTATATAATACATCTTTACGCCTGCTGTAATACGAATGGATACGGTTACTAGTTTCTTTCCAGACAGGTGAATACGACCAGGTGTTTGGGGACGAGCGGTCATTATTCTTCCTCTAACAGTCGCCCTTTTACTGTCGAAAAGCAATATAGTAAGCGGTTGGTCTTCAATTGGATAGAAATCATAATCTCACTTTGGAAATCAAATACATTTTGAATGTATGGACTCTTGTGTGAAAGGTAGTAAAGTGATATCCTTTTCTTTTTTTACATCAGTAATATGAATTGTCACCACTTTCTATTTGAAATAAACGACACAGAGACTTTAGGAAAGTTCATTTCAAATTATCAGTTTCATTTGAGCATTCGAAGAAGATGTTTCAGTTTGAGCTCCAATCAAATTCATGTTACTTACAGGATATCCATAGACAGAAGGATCCATTAATCGAGACATACAACATCCTGACTTACATTGGATGCTGTATTTCTATCTTCAGTCTTCTTGTCACATTGGCGACCTACCTGTGGAACAAGTGAGCTCATACAAAAAATATGCAATTATTAATGAAAGACAAAGGAGACAAAATATGTAATTATTCTCTGGCCATTCTATGTAAACTTTTGAACAAAGAATGGTTACTTAGACTATGAAAGACATGCATTTTAAGAACTTGCAAACATGCAAACTTAAATATGCCCCCTTTTTATACACATTATCTCGTAATCAAATGATTTGTGAAATACGTGTAAAACTGCAGCACAGTTCTGTTTTGTATATCACTTCTGTTTGAACCACTATCAACAATGTACAGTTAGTGGTAGAAAGGGGAGGAGGAGGGGGAGGAGGAGAAGAAGAAGAAGAAGAAGAATAAGAAGAAGAAGAAGAAGAAGAAGAAGAAGAAGAAAAAGAAGATGGAGAAGAAGAAGAAGAAGAAGGAAAAGACAAACAGCCATAATTATGATTACTTAATTGGTGATATAAAGGTTGTGTGACGAGTAGAGGGTAATAAATAGTTTACAATATTCATTTGTCAAATTCATATCAATTTAATATATCGATATTCTATCAACTTTGTAGATCAAACCCTCTGCCTCATGATTTGCAGTTTGTATAGAATAGGAAACGTTATCATTTCGAACACCTTTGGCGTACATATTTTTCTAATTTGACATCGTCATGAATAGTTACACCCAGATTGATTTTATTCAAACGCGTCTCCATTCTGAGGGCTTGTGCCTAGTATTAAAAGAGGTATATAAGTAGTGCAAAATCACGTAATCTCCTTCACTTCACACAGATTTGCCGCCTATTTTTTTCTTTGTTATTCTTGTTACAATCTTGATAGGGATTTGAGAACCAAACAGACTAACCAGATCTTCATCTGTCTGTGCCTGACCTTGCTGTGTCTCTACACGACATTTGTCATCATGATCTCTCTGGATTATATCAGAGATTATCGTGATGTCCAAGCTGGACCCTGTTGGTTCCTGGCGGCCTTAGTTCACTACTTCGTTTTGTCTTCCATTGCATGGATGGGTGTAGAAGGGTACAATACCTACCTCATCATTGTGAAGATCTTCAACACCTACATCCAGAATTTCATGATCAAGGCTTTCTTAGCTGCATGGGGTATGATATTTGTTTCCTTAAATCTTTTGTTCTTGGAATGTCTGGGTTTTGTTTATACATAAATATGTCTCTAGATCAGAAACCTTCGATTGAGTTGTTTCAACTTATACTGAAAGTATCCATACAAAAATTGAGTGTGGCAATGTGCACCAACCTGCTCTGCTGGGATTAACTTTCCGCAATAAAATAGTGATGAACGGGCGATCAAAGGAATTTTTTCTTCTCTGTTTCTTAATGAACGAAATAAATCAAAAACTCTAGCACGATATTCCAATCATTTATCCAAACTAACTAAATTGACATTTATTGTGAAAAAATCACATTAGGACGGACTATAGTCTAACAGGCATCAACTAATAATGCAAATGAATTCGTCATTTTTTACATTATGTGTAATTTATTCATTGTTAGTATCAAACGGCACTCGACATGGCATGTGATTTGTACAAAGAAGACTCTAAACCCCACAGTATAATAATCGAGATATCTAATTCTTACAAAAGATAATTATAGTGTCGCCTTAACCGTGAGAAAAGCTTGTGAGCTGGACAGCACAACCATAACATGAATAGGTCTATCGAAGAAACGGGGAAAGGAATATGCTAGGCCCATGTCCAATATAGGCGTAGTAAAAATGATTAAACAAATCGTATTTCCTCATACACGTATGTCATTTCAGGAATTCCTGCTTTCATCGTGGTTCTTACCGGAGCAATTGCTAGAGGCTCTTATGCTCATGATGATATGTAAGTGCTAATACTTGAAAGTTTAGCTGGAATACTGGACTGCATAGCATAAGGCTACCCTATTGATCTTCAAATTTCAGATTCAGCAAAAGCACGTTTTTTGTAATTTAAACTAGTTTATATATAGGCATTTGGTATTTTGGTAACTCATGAGTTAGCAAGTGTGCAATTATATCTAGAATTCGTATCTTATATCACCTTCGCGGATATGTGGTGTGATCCAAGCTCTAGAACGGCCGCCAACTATAAACAGTCACCACACATACTTACATCTCAGATATTGTTGGTAACGGATGGGACAAGAAAGCTTGGATTGCCAAAATAAATAGTTATATAATATTGGATGGCTTTGAATGTGATACAATAATATATTGCTCTCGCTATGACAATATATTCTTATTCTTGGATCACACGAAAACAAAGCCATTCTATATTATCATTATTATTATAAGTATTATCTATATCAGGCTGACTTGCAAAATAACAAAATCTGCGACAGTTGAAGTTCCCGGATCACAGAGCAATACGAAAAAAATATTGATCTGCCATCCGGGTACTGCGCTAAATATATAAAATACACTGATTTTGTTGTACCACTTGGAAGCCTTATACAGTTAATAATGGGGGGAAATGTATACAATGAAAATTCTTCAGTTAACATGTTTTCAGGACCACAAACATTACCTATAACTGTCACTAAGACAGTGAGTATTGATTAATTAATTCAGACACTTTACAAAATGCATACTTTCTATTAACAGATGCTTTCTACAATTCTGGGCTCAAGTCGGTGGTCTCCTGATTCCCATGTCCACCATCCTCCTCATCAACATTGTCATCTTCATTCTGGTGGTTCGACAATTGCTCCGATTAGCCAACATCGCTGGTCGAGTGAAAGGAGAGGCTAAGGTAGAACGTCGAGAGACTATCGAACGCGTCCAGAACGCGATCTGCATCTTGTTCCTGCTCGGTCTGACCTGGGTCACCGGATATCTTCTTTTGATCCCGTCATTCAGTCAGGTAAAGCCAACTAGCTTCAAGAATAATTCCTGTGTGGTATCCATCTCTTCTACAAAATATCTTTAGAACTCATGTATGATAATTAAATACACCTGCAATAACCCTTTAGATGTTTAGTATCTGAAGAACATGAGAGAGAATGACATATACCTAATTATTATTTCTAAAACATTTGCTTTTAACAGGTGGCTCAGCCAATCTTCGTCGTCCTTAACTCCTTCCAAGGATTTTTCATCTTTCTACTCTACTGCGTCCGGAATCCTCACATCCGTAAGAAATGGGGACTAACTTGTTTCGACGAGTTCCTAAAGAAAGAAGCAAGCACTTCCAGCGGTGGGGTAAGCTCGACGGCGCTATCCTCGTCACTTGGCATGGTAAGCAAATTGCGCCCAGGAGCCTCGGGTAATTACTCGTTGCCTATGATAGACGACCATCCCGATCCTATTTGTATGTTCAGTCCGACCTATGATGATAGCCAGGTTGAGGATGGGGTCACACCACCTATGAACGAAGATATCCAACGTTCTTCAGAGGAACAGAAGAAGTACACAGATTGTGATGCAAAAAGCACCGATGTCGTTGCGGTAAGTCTCCCTCTTGATGCATCCGTCCCAGAGGCCACTAAGAGAGATGATGATGTTTCCTCCACCACGGTCAGTGTTACTCTGGATGCAACTGATGCCAGGAAAGCTACTGATTCCACCAATGATGCTGCTGTCAGCCTCCCTAAGGATGCTGCGGATGGCACCATCCACAATGAGAGGAGTGATGATGTTGCTTCTGCAACAGGTGATGCTGCCGCCAATCTTCCAATGGATTCGACGGACTTCAGCAAAGTAAATTAGAGCAGTGACATTGATGCCAGTGGCTCAACCGATTTTGCAACAGCAATCGGCACAGTTGAGGTTTTGACTATAGCGATGCATTAATTCTTACTGATTAAAAAAATGCTTATGCATGTAAGCCACACAAAAAAGTTCTTATTAAGAGAGCATGATCTTATATTGGCATACTAGGCAGTAGAGGGGTGGGCTAGGCGTCGCACAGTGGGCCAGGGAGGGACCAAAGTGCGCCAAAACTCATGTTTGGGGATTTCTTTTTTTATAAATCCAGAGGAAATGTTTAGATTTCCAGGGATTTTCGCTTAAATTGTATTACCAACATTTTCTTTGATGTCTAAGCTTTAAGTTGATACCAGATTTGGCTGCCCGATTCTGCCCGTTATTATGTTAGAGCTGTTTTCCTTGCAACATTGCCCCGAAAAATGTGTTTATTTTGGTCTGCGGTGTCAGAACAAGTGTCACGCGCCCCCTCGCGCCGTGATTTATGACCACGAATCCTTCATGATTCATCCGCGGACCCCAAAAACCCACATTTTCGGGGCAATGTGGCAAGGGAAATCGGCTCTAACATAACAATGGACAAGTTTGGGCAGCCAAATTTGGTATCAACTTGAAGCTTAGACATCAGAGAAAAGGGTGGTATAAAAATTCAAGCGGTACACCGCGGAGATCTAAACATTTCTTCTGGATTTATAAAAAACATGGATAATTAGTCCATTTTTCAGTGAATTACCCTATAATATATCATGACGATTGTGTTTCTATTAATTTTAACCCATTCATTCAACGAAATGAACTATCAGGAATATGTGAGAGCAATTTCATATCAATAACTTAAAAACTTCATGTTGAATTGAAAGATTTATAAAATAGGTCACTTTTGCACTAAAACTGTAAATATGTAGGATTTTGCTGATTGAAGTAGTAAATTTATACCCTTATTGTGCATACCGGAATTAAATATTTCACTAAGGTATTCCTCTATGTATTACCTTTCAACTGGGCAAGAAAAAAATTGAAAAAAATAAATCACCGAAAAATAGTTTTGGCGCACTTTGGTCCCTCCCTGGCCCACTGTGCGTCGGCTGACCTACAGATTGACCAATCTCCAACCTTCATTTATTAATTCCTTTGTTGGAGGCAGGTGAGTTTTGAACAATGACAAGCCCCCTGACTCAGCTCATATTTTATTGGATAACAATTTGCAAGTGTTTGTTTGCTTGACTGCTAATGTATGTGTATGCTACTATTCTAATCAACCAGGGGACCTACGTCCTTAACTCAAAACTGACATTAATGAGGATTAATTCCTTACTAAAGGGCACTAATTCAGCACATCGACACGTACAAAAATGCAATAAATTATCAATAATTCATTGCATTTTTCATCCGGGACCCAACAGAAAAAAATTCCTCTGCATGGCCATGCATTATGGTTCAAGGCATATCCACACGAAGGATTTTTTTTTTTCTGTTGGAGGTCGGGAGAAAATGCAATGAATCATTGATAATTTATTGCATTTTCTTTGTGCGTTTTTTTATTTGTGGGTGCTGCCCCCCCCCCTACCCTAGCCCCCGCTGTGTAAAGTCATGTTTCAGTGGCAAAGCAATGGCCTCGTAACTGTAAGGGGCCCAGTATCAAAACCGTGTCGATGTGCTATTTTAGTGCCCTATTGTGAGGCATTAATCCACATTACTGTAATGATGTAGGTTCCCTAGTTGATAAGCAAAGTAGCACACATATGCTTTAGCAGTCACGCAAAACAAACTCTCGCAAATTATTATTCAGTATAATTTTAGAATGTACAGTATTATCTAGATCCATTAGGAATAAATCATTGTCAAAATCATTCCACAAATTGGGGTAAGAAAAGTTATTCTACCTTTCATGACCAACAGTGTATATAGTTATATGTATATTAAATCATGACCTAAGTTCCAGTTCTACAATTAACAGATTTAAATCGATGTACAAAAAAGGGTATTTTTTAAAAGATAATATTCATGGTTGAGTAGGTATTTCTTTTACTCTTCTAATTCTTCTACTTTTATTACATTCTTTACCATCTGTATATAATGTGTGTTTGTTGGTGTGTATGGGCGCGCTTGTATTATGCAAGTATTTTACTTTTTTATTAATTATGTTCATAATCTCGTTCCTGTTTGTTAAAGGGCCCCGATTGCAATTAGAATTCTGCTTCCTAGGAATCCCAACCAATTTATATTGTATATTGTCATTTTAAAATTGTTTTATAAAGGTTGAATAAAGATTGAAAGTTGAAAAAAGGATCACAAGGTCCGCAGTTCGAGACCCGCCACGGAAATAATGTCCTTCAGCGAGACATTAATCTACATTTGCAACACACGACCCAGGCGAGGTAAATGGGTGCCTGTGAGAGGATTATTCCTTGAAATGCACTGTGCGCTGATAACGGCTGCCGGTGCTAAAGCTTAGGGTAATAATTTCAAAGCTCTTTCGAAGCGCTAGGGAAGTTAAAGATAAAGACCAGTTCAGGGGGGGGGGCGTTTCACAAAACTTGTCACCAGTGACAAATGACAATTTGTGTTATAAGCTATTGAAATCCTTGCTTCTTATTGGTTATCAGCAGATTTGTCACTGATTTTGTTATTTGTCATTGAAAAAAAGGTTTGTGAAACGCCCCCTGGTCATGCGTGAAATCAGAAAAGGTTGATCATCTAGCACATAAGTATTGGTGTGTACTGCAAGGTTCTGAAATCCTCAAAATGATAAGAAATTTGGCCCAGTCTTGGTAAAGTTACAAGCACTGTACACAGAAAAATGTATATGGGACTACGCGACACGTGCGCGATATATATCCGATCCGGAAAGATATAATAATTTACCAAATATATCAAATGGTATACGGTTTCCCGGCAAAATAGTTATCATCACGTATTAGTCAAAACATATTCTTTCACATGATTGGTAATAAGAGCTTCCATTTCATTTTTTGTGATCTAAATATAATCTAAATATGACATGTTACAGCCTAAAATGTGGGCCTCATTTTTATGCCACATGTTTGTGTAATCCCATATAGATCTTTCTGTGTACAATTCTTGTTAATTTTAGCAAAACTGGGCCAAATTTCTTATAATTTTGATGATTCCAGAACCTTGCAGTAACCACCAATACTTATTATATGCTACATGATCAACTTTTTCTGATCGATTCCACATCGTTTCTTTCACAGTGCAATTGCGTGACCAGAACTCAACTTTATCTTCTAACCTTTGTCAAGTAATGACAAAAATAACCAAAACCAGCGTTCGTCAAAACTTGAAAAAGGGGCATAGCTATTTTGTATGTATATATCTATATAATCTCTATGCAGTGGATCAGTTGATGTCTCATACATGCAGTTCTTCTTGAAGTTACCCTGTTGCTACATGATTATACTGTCTATATAGTTTCATGTGCTTCTTATTAAATATCAAGTATCTTTTAATAGAAATTGATATCATTATATTTTACTCAGAAAAATGTATATCATTCTAGATTATTTTGGTTGTATTTGTTACCGATTTTGTTAAGCATAAACTTGTTCAGGATGCTCCTGAAAAGAGGAGACCCAAGTTTATCATTAAATTGCTCAACATTCCTGAATTTCATTTGGGTAATGACAGAAAAACTAAATAAATATTTTACGTCCATACAGCGATCAAGTTTAATTGTCTCTCTTCCCTATGCATAATAAGTTACACGAATTAATGAAGAAATCTCATGTAATAAATATGACAGGAACGGACATATAGAAATACAAATGCGAAACCAAAAAATATGTGCAAATGTGCACAGACAACTTTACATATGACGAAATTAATAATCAAAAGAGAATTACCTTTTTAATTTACTATGTGCAAGGTAGGTCTATAAAATAGCCTTGTAAGTATTACACTGGAAATGACAGGCTTTATATCATGACTTTCTATAATTAATACTTTCAAATCAGTTGTCTTTTCGAAACAACTATCATCGACTTGTTTTGTTTTTCTGTCACTGCCATTTCAGCCATAGGCCTATGTGGTTTAATAATCATATTCTTGTTTTCATATGCCAGGGAAAGGAATATGAGGTCCTCGGTGATGTATATACTTATTAGTGAAAACATAATTTGGGATTATTGAGTAATTGCTTATTGTAGCTCGTTTTAATGTGAGATTGCATCATTAATTTATGATACAAAGCATGACAAATCAGAACATTACTGTAATTGTCATTTGTATTAAAGTGCGCGACAAGAAATTTGTAAAATCAAACTTGGTAATAAAGTAAATGGTGGAATGGTTAGTTGATATTCGTATTTCCATTGCTTGTATTTATCGTTTTTAATCAATATTTCATATTCATATTTCCATTGGAGTTTAAAAACATATACAAACAGTTAATATTCTTTACAAAGCTGTCGAAGCTAGCAAAAGTAAAATAACAATAGAACCCCAAATCCACGAGATCAATAGCATAACCTCGAACCAATCACAAGTCAAGCCCCAATTTCAAAAGGTGGATCACTGAATTATTTCGTATAGCTCATATTGAGGTACAGACACAGGGATCAGGCATTAATATTATTTTAATTATTATAATTATTATTATTATTATTATTATTATTTTTGTTACTTAAACCGCGCTTACAGTAAATGACTAGGATTATGAATATTCATGTTTTTGCTTACCTCGACAAAATGCTTGCCTATACTAAATGGAAAAAATACGGTGGGGTTGGCTGAAATGGACATAATGAACCGATCAGAACTGATCTATGATAATTCATTCTTGTTATCCTTCGTGTGATTGACCTATAACCCATGGGTGTCGACCTATCCCCCAATATTTCAGGTGGGGGGATGGCCTGTACAATCATCCCCCCCCCCCAATAATTTCACCATAAAAAAAATAATTTTAAAATGAAGAGACAAATTAATGATGAGAGTAGTTAATGGTTATTACTCGCAAGATGACCATCAAAAAACACATTTTG